ATTAGAAACACCAGAGGGCTGGGGATTTAGCTCAGTGGTTCTGCTGCCAGCTTCACAAGCACCAGGACCAGAGTTTGATCCCCAGTACGAAAAAAGAAAAAAAAAAAAAAGCCAGAGAAACTATTTTTAATATGCTCAGCTGTAAAGGCAGCAATCAAGGGGAATGAGACAAGAACATCATATGTTCTAGACCACAACGGGCAACACACTGAGACCCTTTTTCAAAAATAAAACTTTAAAAAGGTTTGGGATTTAACTCAGTGTGAAGACCCTGGGTCCAGCCCCCAGAATCAGGGGAAAACAAAATGAGTAGCCACTAAAAGAACTGTATAAGAATCTGTAACATATTTATAAACGAGGAAACAGAAAACATAATATAAAAGCAAACAATAGAGAATAAAAATATGGTATATCATAAAATAAGGAATATAAATAAAAAAATGAAGGCAGGAAAGTTTGGTCTTGAGATGTATATATCAGAAAATAAGATGAAAATCAAGGAACTAAACATGTGGGTTAAAATATATGAAAGATAGTTAAATGCCATTAAAGAAAGCAGAAAAAAGAATAAAAAAGAAATCAGATAGGAGGTTTATATTAGAGAGAATGAACAACTCCAAAGTCTGTTTTATAGAAAGTTCCACAAATAAGTAGATCCCTGAAAAGGCTCATCAAGAAAAAAGAGAGGATCTGAATTAACAAAGTAAAAAAAAAAAAAAAAAAAAGATATCTCTCCAGATTCTGCAGGTGCCAAGAGTCAACAAAAAAACAGTATGAGCAACCTTATGCAACACAGTTGACGTGGGAAAGTTCTAAGAAAAAGATACAAAAATGGTAAGATTCTCAGAAGACCTGTATCTATTAAAACATAGAATTTATCCAGATGAAAGGCCAAACATTTAAGAAACAGTACCAATTATACAGAGTTGTCCAGTGAAGGGAAAAAGAGGGACCATTTCCCAACACATTTTATGAAAGCAGTGAACCTTTTCATTAATGCCTGACAAGCACAAGAAAGGAAGATGAACAGATTAAAAAACTCTATATAGAATATCAGCAGATCAAATCTAGTGACATATAAAAATGTAATACATGACAGCTAAATTGTGTATATGTCAGAAATAAAAGGTTATTTAAATATTCAAAACTGAATCAATTTAACTGACTGCACTAACAGAATAAAATTAAAAATTCATTTAATCAATTGAATTAATATAGAAAATGTATAATATGACATTAATGAAAAACTCAAAAGGAGAAACACTTTTCTTATCACCTCTATACATACATCTACAGCAAAAAGTTGAAGGGTAAAATGAGGAAAGCCTGAGTGTGGGGTCAAGATGTAGGCATCTGCTATCAGTCCCTCTATCTATACTGAACATGAGGTACTAAGCCAGTATAGTAAGATACAAAAAGGAAATAAATTTTTATGGATGGGCTAAGAAGAAAGTGTCACTATTCACAAACAACATGAATACACAGATAGAAAAATCAAGAATCCACACATATACTATTTTAATTAATAAGTGAATGCAAAATGGTCACTAGCTAAATGGTTAATATATTTAAAAAAATCAAATATATTTCTATATACTAGCAATAAGCAATAGGAAAATGAGAATTTAAAAAAAGATACTAATTATAACAGCACCAAAAATAAAAAATAAAAAACTCAGACATAGATCTAACAAACAATGTGTCAGACTTCTACATAGAAAGCCATGTAGTTTGCTAGATAGTGGAAAAAATCAAATAATGATAGGACAAACCATATTCATGAACTGAAATAACAATATAAACTACAAATGTATTCTAAGTTCTGTTAAATTTCAATCAAATTTGACGTTTTCCCCCTTTCTTTATTCATGGAAATTTCAAAGCTAATTTTAAAATTTATATGGACATGCACAGTCAAAATGTAGCCAACACAATGTTGAAGAAACACCACAAAGCTGAAGGACTTAATTCTCTATACAGACTTAGGAAAATTATACAAATTAATAAGCACAAAGACAAGTAGACAAATAACAAGAGAACAGGGAATCCAGAAACAAACCCAAGCATATACACAACTACCCACACCCACACCCACACATGAATACATATCTCTATGGAAAATCAGCAGATCGAATTCAATGACATATAAAAATGTAATACATGACAACTAAATCATGTATATGAAAATACATATTCATGTGGTGTGGGGGGGCGGTTCTCCCACTTTGTGACTTACCTTCTCTAATTTTTCTATATAATCTAAGATATAACTTTGTCTTTATATATTATATATGCCTATCCAGATATAGATTTTATCCAATAGGCACATTTCTAGAATATACAAAGTACTTCTACAAGTCAGTAAGGAAGAACCCAATAGAAAAATAGTCAAAATATCTGAACAGGCACTTCAAAGGAGAATAACCCATGACGAAAAAACATAAGGGCTTTCTAGAAGAGCCAAAAGATACTGACATATAAAATATAAAGAAACTATTATTCAGAGAAGAGACTAATTTGCTGGATATACTTGTATATATAGGCCACAGCCAGAGTTTAGGAAAATGTTAAAGGCACAGGATATCTGACAGTTTTTAAAGGGATATTATGGTAATTCTGGTAGTTCTTTTAACAAGACTGTAAAAACAGAAAAATAAAAGACTACACTAGGGTTTGAAAGCTATTAGAAAAATCTAACCAAGAAACGAGGACAAGAGTAGTTGTGAAAAAATAACAATTAAAACATTTAATTAGTAAAATAATTAAAATAAAAATTTTATTTTGAGCCCTTTGCTAGTTGGGCTCAACAGTAGAATAGAAATGACAGGGTAGGATGAGTGAACTTGAAGACATATCAACAGTTTTACTCAATGTGTACACTGGAAAACAGACTAGAAAATAGCATGCGAGGGACTTGGAAGATAACAAATGATCTAACACACATACAATCAGACTTTCCAAGAAAGAAGAAAAGGTAATGGTCTTAAAGGGATATTTAAAGAAATAATGGCTGCAAATTTTTCAAATTTGGTAAAAGACATAAATGCACAGATTCAAGAAGCTGGGAAAACTCCAAGTAGCATAAATCCAAAAGAAATATAAGACATATCATAGTTGAAATTTGTAAAGCTAAAAATGACCAAAATAAATCTTAAAAGCAACCAGAGAAAAATAATGATTATCTCTAACAAAACAATAATTTGAGTGTCATCAGATTTTTCACTGGAAACCAGGGCCAGAAAGAAGAGCAACAGTCTTCAGTATTGAAGAAAAAGAACTATCAACGTGAATTCCATATCAGACAAAACTATCTTTAAGGAACGAAGGTGGAGAAAAACGACATTCTCACACAAAGGAGAGCTAAAATAATTTGTCACTAACAGACACATCTTTAGAATCTCCCCTAAAGGACATTCTCCAAACAGAAAGAGAATGAGAAGATTGAACTGCAATAAAAGAATAAGAACGGAATGAGTAAAAGTAGTGGTAAATATAATGGACTAGTCATCTTAGGCATTTCTTATATCATAGTTGATGACTAAAGCAAAAGTTATAACAACAGTTGATGTGGTACTTTATGTATACTAGCATTATAGCTCTTCAAAATATATAGTAGTCACCCCTTGTCCATGGTTTTAGTTTCCATAGTTTCAGTTATCCATGCTCAACCAAGGTCTGAAAATATTAAATGGAAATTTCAGACATACACATGAATCCCATAGCGATATCGTATCTATAATATCTTTTAAGTTTGCACCACTCTGAGAAGCATGTTGAAATTTTTTCTGTCTCATTTGATTCTGCCCAGGGCATCACCCTTTTGTCTAGTGGATCCATGATATATATGCTACCTGCCTGTTAGTCACTTAGCAGTTATTGCTGATATCAGACTGATAGTGCTTGGGTACAAGGAACCCTCATTTACTTAATCACTCCTAAGTATGTATGTATAGGGAAAAATATAGTATATATAAAGTTATTATCTGCTTTTGGACATTTATAGGAGGGGATATTGTGGAAAATGCCCCTACAGATAAGAACTGATGTATATAAAGGAAGTATGATAATTATATTTTAAAATAAAAACAGCAAAAGAAGCTAAACGGAAGTAGTTTCTATACTTCACATGAAGTGGCAAAAGTCAGCGCAAGGAGACTATGGTAAATCTTTATGTATTGTTATACCTAATGCAACTACATAAAAAGAATGTCAAGCCGTATAATGAAAAACACTTTAAGTCAAAGAGAAATATGAAAATATTCATATAATCTACAGGTAGACTGTCCGGCTGCTGGGCCAGAGTCACAAGCAGGTGTCCAGTAACTGAGGGACTTGAGAGGGAGGAAATGAACCTGTGGACCTCTGAGTCGCGCGTCAGA